TCTATGGAGCCATACCATTTTATTTACACATTTTATTTTCTTTTATTTTTTTATTTTGATTGCTTTTGTTTATTGTACCGCTCAGTTTGTGGATCCATCGATCCTCTAGGGCAGTTCTATCTACAAACGCTCATACATTTTTCATTAGTATTAAAATTTGCATTCTAAAACTGAAGTAAAACACTTCTTCGTATTTTATTTTATTTTTTTTTTTTTCCTTAATAAAATTTATCTACAAATCCCTTGCGTTATTCACTTTTCCAATTAAATCTCAGTCAGTTAATCGAAATAAATTCACTCAAAAAGTAAATCAATTAACTAATTAATTCAATTAATGTAAGCCAGTCACTATGTTGTTTAATCTATCAGTCTATTTATCAAATATATATTTACATAATATTAAAATGTTCGTTCAAAAATATATAAATGTTTTCTAAATATTATAAAATAACAATAATATAAAATGAACAATAAATTCAAATTATTGAATAAGCTCAACAAAACTTAAATTAAATAATACACATATAAAAATAATAGTAAATTAATACACATAAAATAAAAATAAGAATTTACAGTTTAACACCATTCAATAGTTAAACAAGCGAATATAATCCTCCAATAAAATGCGACAATTAATGCCGAAATAAATATCTGAAATTCATTCACTCAAATTAAAGCATACAAAATGCAAATAGGTGATATCAAAACAAAATGAAATGATTCACATTATAATAAGCTTTGTAGGGCGCGTTCAATTCTCGTTTGTGTATATATTTTTTTTTTTTTTCGATTTGCCCACTTTATTATATGGCAATTAACATTGATTCGTTGAGCTTATTAATATGACAAAATGAATCCTCTGCTCTATTACAGTTGATCCCAAATTCAGCTATCCCATTGCAAATGTGACAGCGCCGGTGGGACGTGACGCCTTCCTCACATGCGTCGTGCAGGACCTGGGACCGTATAAGGTACGAAAGAGCTCCATCAAATCACAGATAACCCCCAATGCATACACATATACATATATAGTATATATACCAATTCGTAGCGCCCTCGGCATCTGCCCTCTCAGCTCAATTACACACTCAATAAGCAGCCACAAAAACCCAACCGTTCGCATTAATATTCATTAGCATTTTAGCTACAGCCAGACGGTCGTCGTATAATCTCAAAGACCAAATCTCGACACCCGGACTCCGACACGGACACCAACACGGACACGGACTCGGACGCGAACAACCCAATTGAAGGGAATGGAAATGAAAGTGAAAATACAAAAGCAAAAAGAATGAAACACAAAACAAAACATAAATACAAATATGGAGAGCTTAGCAATAACAAAAGCGAAAATCACATAAAAAGTAATTGAAATATGAGTGCGAATGTGTTAAGCAGCGGAGAGGGGAGGCAGTCCAACTCGAGCACTGCTCTAAGGGGGGTTCAAGGTAATGATGGTTGTTTAGGGGTTCGACTCGTGCTTCATCATTTCACCTGTCTCGCTCTCCATATCTGTGCCTCACGCTCTATATCAGGCAGGGAATTGTGTGATGTCTCAAAAGCCAAAGGTAAAGCAGCACTGAAGCGCAATGCTTTGTTCTACCAGCAACAACAACAACAGCAACGTATAGCTCCCCTAATCCGACATCAACACCTCCATCCACATGCACAATTAAGCGTTATGCTGCTTAAAGATAATTGAGCAGGCACTTGGGTATAATTACTTATTTTATGCTGACAGCATTTCGGTTATTTTCCAGACCCAAAAGTTAAATTCCATGCTCAATAATTCATTAGCCATCGATATATACATAAATATATATATATCCATATATATCTTTGTCAACTGAAATTGAAATCGAAATTAACTAATATGACTTGACGTGTTAACATGTTCGCTCAGCTGAGCCCTCAAATTGTTTTCCGACTTCCGACACATTTACACATGCAAGCCCCTGTCTGTGTGTGTGTGTGCGTGTGTCTCTGAAAGGGTTATGGAATTTCTGGGAACCTGTGAACCTGACTGCCTATTAAATGTCCAATGTGTATATACCAAGGCTCAGATTGCATGCTGCGTGCTTTATCGCATAATAATTTACCCGCGTAATTGTACAATTACAAGCGTATGGGTGTGCATGTGTACGCGTGTGTGTGTGTGCGTGACAAACTCAAGCAGCTAGCTAATACGACTCTTAAATATTTTGATATAGTTCTTGGAATAGAAATTCACATTATTGTGGTGCAGTGCATGCCCATGATTTAACAGTGGTAGAGGAACGTAAATTAGACAATTAATTGACGGTATACAAAGTATTTTTTGATGCAATTAATTTAAATATATATATTTAGAGTATAATAAAAATGGGGGTACAAAAAATACATAGAAAGGAAAATTTTGTAGAGTATTTATAAAAAGATATATAATATTTTTAGAAAAGGAAGAATAACGGATTTAACAGTAATTTTAAAACTATCTAAATAGATTTTTAAAATCAAAGTAAATAAACTTCAGTTTAATATTTACAATATTTCTATATATTTCAATATAAAAATTAAGTTCAAGTTATTCCATTGAATTTTAAGCAATACAAAAAAATTAAATTTAATTTTTTTTTTTT